GCCTCCAACCTAATAGCAAAGGCCTCCAACCTAATAGCAAAGGCCTCTAACCCAATAGTGATGGCCTCCAACCTAATAGCAAAGGCCTCCGCAAAGGCCTCCAACCTAATAGGGATGCCGGGATGGCCTCCAACCTAATAGCAAAGGCCTCCAACCTAATAACAAAGGCCTCCAACCCAATAGTGATGGCCTCCAACCAAATAGCAAAGGCCTCCAACCTAATACTGATGGCCTTCACCCTAGTAGCGATGGCCTCCAACCTGATAGCGATGGCCTCCAACCTGATAGCGACTGCCTCCAGCTTAACAACAAAGGCCTGCAACCTAGTGGCGATGGTCGCACATGGTCACGCGCAAAGAACTGCTTTGGGCACTTACGTTTGCCGTTTGCAATTGGCGTCCCTGAGCTCATGGAGGTCTTGGATGGAAGAGCGAATCAGAAAGCGAAAAGTGAGTTCCATTGACTTGCGAAACGCGGAAAGGAAGCGTGATGTGTGCGATGACCTGAGATTTCCTGTTGCGCTTAAGCATGTCGGCGGAAGTCTCGCGAATGCTTGGCTTTCGGGACGTCCCTCTCACTTCTCGCGCGCAATTCTTGATCGTATGGCGCGAGTAGACCAAGCGAGTATCAGGGAGGGCAACAGCCACAGGCGGGAGAAATTGAGGCGGAAAGAAGCGGCTTCCTCGTGTGCCGAACATGCCAGAGATTTGAGAATAGACCGGCAAAAAGAAATAGCCTGGATCTCAACGACAAAAATATGGTTGCTTTGGTTGTTGATCCGGTTTTCCACGCAAACGGCCACAAATCAGCGCAAACGACAAAACGACCGCAAATTAGTGCAAACCGCACGCAAAAAAAACAGAAAACGACCACAAACATCCGCAAAATAACGCAAAACAAACAAAACGACCAAAACAACAATAAAACCCAAACGACTTATTTTTTTGGTAGTTGGAAGGTCCAGGAGAAGAAGAAGAACCATTAAGAAGCTAATAACGATGGCCTCCAACCCAATAGCGATGGCCTCCGGCAACAGCACGAAGGGAAAAGGTAATCTTGCGGCTGTTTTGCTTCAGCTTTGCTTCAGCTTTGCTGCTGCTGCTGCTGTGTTAGTGGTTGGCGGGGTGCTGGGCAGTTGGGTTGAGTCGTTTTGTCGTAAAAGGTCATAGCTCTGCAGTGTGGTGTGATCTCCGTCTTGCGCAGACTTTGAAACTTCTCAGGTCACTTGGGAAGAAGCGTCACGGGAGACGATCGTTTAGACTTTGCTCCCCACTCTGGCCTACAATATCACAAGAGTGTCTCACAACACTAAACATCATGTACAAAGTGCGAAAGCGGCAGCGAATGGTGCTCCGCAGGTTGGGAGTGCGACTTTGAGGACAAACCCGAAAAAGTGAAAGACATGAAAACAAGAAGCTACTAGGAGCAAAGGGCATCGCTACTAGGAACAAGAAGCTACTAGGGGTTCCTGGCCTTACTACTAGGAGCAAGAAGCTAGTAGAAACAATATATAGAATTTAATTAGAATTAGTAGCAAAGGCTACTAGGATCTTTTCCATAACTTTGTGTTGAACCGTCACCATGTTGAACAGACGCAATCGAGGAGAATTTTGAAGGAAGTGCATCAGTCTATTGTGAGCCGGAACCACAGCACAGCAGAGCACTGTTGTTGTCATCTGTGTTCATTCTTAGACCAAAAAAAGATACAAAGGAATACGTCCTTCTTTGCTTCGGTGTTTGCCTTTTTGTTCGCACAAACAGGTTGGACTCGTCGGGGTCATCCTGCATCTCGCGGAAGAAGTTCGAAGGATGTTTTCCACAAATCAGGCCTGAAGCTTAAGCGAAGCTGAAAAGCAGAGAGTGCAAAGCGCAAAAAGACAAAGCAGATGCACATGTGATTCATGATGATTCATGTGAAGCAAGGACACTACTAGTAGCTAAGTGCATTGCTACTAGAAACAAGGACGCTACTAGGAACAAGAAGCTACTAGGAACAAGTGCCTTACTAGTAGAAACAATAAGCTACTAGTAGCTAAGTGCGTCGCTACTAGTAACAAGTGCCTTACTAGTAGGGACAAGAAGCTACTTTATGTAGAAGTGATTTGTGAAATCTTTTACTCCGTCGACGTTCTTCCATCCGAGTACCAATAGAAGCATAAGTTTTTGCCGCAACCCCGAGGCCATGTGCTGCACCACCTTTGGATCGATGCAAGTATGAGGTCAATCCAGAATTTGCATGTTGTAATCATGTCATTTCCAAGTGTGTTCCTTTGCTCTTAGGTTGAAGGCCATTGCTATTAGGTTGGAGGTCATCGCTATTATTCGGTTGAAGGCCATTGCTTCTAGGTTGGAAGCCGTTGCTATTAGGAACCGACTCTTTGTTTTTTTTCAAGGATTTGTTCCTTTTGCGATGGCGCACCCCTCTAAGGTGAGCGATTGCCTCAGCGTATCTGCTGGCGGAATTTGTCGAATTGGATGTGCTGGAAATTACACAGGAGAGTCGAAACCTTGGAAAGATGTGTTTTTCTTCCAAACGAATTCAGATGCCACCCACCCTTGCACATGAAGAACACCAAAAAGAAGGACCTATAGATTCTATAGATGTCACCAAAAGGGCGAATTGCGAAGATCGTGAAAACGAAGAGAGTGGATGAAAAAGAACAAGAATTGCACTTCCTTTGTCGAGGCCTGTCGAGGCCATGTGTCCTGTTGGTGGGGCCCCCGTGACTCACTCTTGTTCGATGTTGCGTTTCGAACTTCTGGCGTCGACTAATAGCAATGGCCTCCAACCTAATTGCAACATGACAATTGCAGATGCACCGCTTTTGGCTTCAGGGAACGTTGCGGAGAATGGCTTAATGTGGCAGACACTCCCACGCTGTGTGGCAGAGGAGCGGCGATGTTTGTCTCTTGGTGCCCGTGACAGAGTGACGACTGAGTGACGACTGGCAAGGAGCCCCTAGTAGCGTCCCTCTTGTTCCTAGTAGCAATGCCAGGAGCCCCTAGTAGCGTCCTCTTGTTCCTAGTAGCGATGCCAGGAGCCCTTAGTAGCATCCTTGCTCCTAGTAGCGATGCCAGGAGTCCTTCCTTTCAAGTAAAAAAACACCGTGAAAAGATGAAGTTTGTCGCGCTGCATGTAGAACCGCACAGCTTTGCACAGCGGCGTAGGACTTTGATTGTCCTTTGCCGAGCATCCTACCGGAAGGTGCAAGTCGGGAGTTTGACGTCCTTTTCCTTCATTCCTTTCTTCCTTTCATCCTGTCTCCTTCCTTCTCAGGTTATAAAGTGGTGGGCAAGGAAGTGGTATGCGAAGAGGGCTATGTTGGCACATGGGCTTAGCTTCGCATCTTCGAGCTTCGATCTTTGAAAACAACTTCACTATGTGACTTCTTGTTTCATAATAGCTTCTTGTTCCTAGTAGCGATGCCTACTTCGTCCGATGTTTTTTCGTGTCCCAGGCTCCTTTGTGTCACGTCGCTGCGGTCACGACTCTGCCTGTCACAAGGTGCCACGATGCGATGCGACGCGGTGCGCGGTGGTACCGAGAGAGGGGAAATGAAGGACGAAAGGCACATGAAAGGACATAACAAGAAGCTACTAGGAGCAAGGACGCTATTAGGAACAAGTGCATCGCTTCTAGTAACAAGTGCCTTACTAGTAACAAGAAACTACTGGGAGCAAAGGCATCGCTCCTAGGGGCTCCTGGCATCGCTAGTAGGTTGGAGGCCATCGCTACTAGTAACAACAAGCTCCCGCTCGATTGAACAATGGAATTGTACTATCCCATTTCTTCTTTTTCAGCACAAAAAAAGTCGTGAGAAAAACTGTGTAGCAAAGACTGGGAGGTCGAATTGTTCAAGACACCAATGGTCTACCATCTTTCACCAGCAGTTTCATGTTCCCCAAGATACAACCAGAAATGGTTCCAGTCTGCATGTTTGCAAGCAGAAGCGCTTTTGACCGCCAACGTGGGCGCTTCTGCCAAAGATTGGGCGGATTCGCTCCAGTTTTTCTTGAGAAACATTGCGGAGTGAAACCAATTCTGATACTGTAGTTTCTTGCTCCCAGTAGTAAGGCCAGGAGCCCCTAGTAGCGTCCTTGCTCCTAGTACTGATGCCCTTTGCTCCTAGTAGCTATTTGCTCCTATTTGTGGAACAACTTTGGCAGCCAAAACTTGCGCGCGATGTCGACCATCACATGGCAAATGCTTAACTGCAGAGCAATCCCTCAACGCAGTCTGCAGGGTCACAGCTCGAAATTCAACATTATTGAAATTGGGTTTGCGCACGCGTGCACAAATATTCACAACCTTGCCAAAGTTTCCTGGAAGGAAAGGTCTTGCCCTTTGCCTTTGTGACTTGTAAAGAGCTCACATTTGCGACTGTTAAAGAACTGATCACAAAGTTCGTCCAATGGTATGGTCTTGCCAGCTTGTGCAAAAAGATGTCAATGAAAGCACGGAAGGAAAGCTCAGCAATGGGCGACATCCGCCAGGCCCATACGCTCACATGCAAGTTGACGCAGGTCAAACTCAACACCCATTCGCCGAATCATTCGGTGTAGACATAGATGGAAATTGGTACAAATTGGTTTATTACGAGTTCACGACTTGTACAGAATCAAAGCAAAGCTGGCCTGAATGGGTGCAAGTAGCCGCACATGCAGCGGCAACAAACGATCAAGTATAAAGTGGAATGAAGATCGATAAAGCGGATGAACTGGATGACCGTCTGCACTGGAGTCAAGATCTGCGGAACTCCTCTCTCCCCAGGCCAACATCACAAATAAGCTGAGCAGCTGGAGCAAAGGCTGACACTGGAGGTTGTTGCACTTCACGTGTTGCGCAAGTATCCAAATAAGCTGCCGCATCCGGATTTTGGCATCGGGCTTGTTGCCAGGATTAGCTGTAATTGGGGGCCGCAAAGTCTTGATCCTTGACTCGTAGGTTGGAGACCATCGCTACTAGGTTGGAGGCCATCGCAAGTAGGTTGGAGGCCATCGCAGGTACTTTGGAGGCCATTGCTATTAGGTTGGAGGCCATCGCTCTTGGGTTGAAGGATGTTGAAGGCCATTGCTTCTAGGTTGGAGGCCATTCTTTTGAGGTTGGAGGCCATTGCTACTAAGGTGAACTGTGATTTACAATGTAGAAAACACACGTCCATGTTTACTACAGCCAGCAGTATATTGGAAGTGTTTTTCAACATGAAACGCGATATGACTGCGGGGACGAGAACTAGCATGTCCAAAATCATGATTTACGATGTTCAACTTATACATGTTGACACGGGTTTTTCGAACAAAAACGCTTCTCTCGCACTTTTTTCAATGCATCAAAATATGCACATGTTATATATTTTTATCAGAAACACTCAGAAACACAGGCATGCTCGGCATTTTCGACTTGTCTCACGTTAGCTTGTGCTGTTTTCGCCCTGAGAACCTCCCGTTTTGAGCCTCTTCCACATGTGTTTTCCCATCTTTTTTTTTTGCGAGACCCATTCCACCCATGACACCATTTCGATAAGGTTGAAACTCAGCACGAAATGAAAAGACTCAATTGATCAAGGTCGATCCACACATACCTGGTGCAGGTGTCGACAGATATCGTGGCCGATGTTTTGACTTCGTCAGAAGTGGTTTTCGCCACGAAAAACGGCAAAAAGGAGCCCCGTTCGTAGCGTCCCTTTGTTCCTAGTAAGGCCAGGAGCCCCGAACGTAGCTTCTTGTTCGTATATCGAAATCAGCTCACAAGTCGAGTCGAAGTATGCACGCCCCCAGTATACGCAAAGCGGTGCACTCACCGCACTTGAGCGTGCACCGGCCGTTGCTGCGATGGATTCTCCTCGGCTGAAAGGGCAGAATCGGTGGTCCAGGTTTCACGTCAGAGAGAAACGTTCAACTTCGCTTAGCGCACACTGCGCACATTGTGAATCCTTTCTCAAATCGGATCGTGAATCGAGGATGTTCCCGTAGGCGACGGATCTAAAGCTTCTTGCTCCTACTTGTAGTAGTAAGGCCAGGAGCACCGTGGCTCGCATCACAAAGTACGTGATTTCGCGCCACTAGCGCTCGTTTTTTCTCACTCAGTTCGAAGCCCTAACGGACACCGAGGGGCGTTTTGGGGAGAAGGACACTGCTTGCGCTTGCAGTCGAAAAAAATGGGGCAAAGCTTGGTGAAGTTCTAAACGCAAAGGTTCTCTGAAAATTTCAATCTCATGTTTTTTTGGTTTAAACGATGAAACACTCTAGGAGTTCCTGTCATTTTCTCACTGGAAATCGAGGTGCTGGAGCTCACGGGCTGCGTGAAGCCAGTGCCGTGCGCCCCACTGAAGATTGAGCCTTGCGAGCGCGACAATTTGGCGCAGCGCTGAGCTTTGAACGAGCAGCGCTGTCCAAGCATACCAAAAACCCCACGTTTTCCGCTCCCAAACATACCCAAAAACGTGTTTGTTCGCATGCCAAGCCACGACATGGCTTCAATGCGGGCGGACTTGCTCTTTCCGCCGTCGCCGAAAAGATCGCACGAATTGCCAAGCCCAAAGCATTCGGTTTGCCAAGCCCTAAACCGAAGGGTTTCCCTAAACACTCGATTTCTCTCGAACGCCTCAGGCCTGCTGGGACGTGGAGGTTGGTTGTCGCAGAAAAAGAACGAAACACAAATAAAAGCAACAAAAAGGCTTCGCCTGAAGAAGCTACTAGTAACAAGTGCATCGCTTCTAGTAACAAGTGCCTTACTAGTAGAAACAAGAAGCTATTAGGAGCAAAGGGCGTTGCTTTGAGCTGCTCCAGGCTGGAGACTCCTGTTGGATCGGATGCAAGGCTCCTTTCTTCGGTCAATCGGCATTGGCCACCTGCCCAGCGGGGCACTCAGAGGGCTCGGAACGAAAGGCGAAGGTCGTAAACCAATCGGAACGGTTGTTCATAGTAAGGCCAGGAGCCCCTAGTCGCGTCCTTTGCTCCTACGGTTGTTTGGAAAAGAGAAATAAATCAAACCACACTCAACCAATGCTTTTCTTTCTCTTGTTTCTACGCAAGCCTCTCTTCGGTGCTGAACAGGGGGTTCAGCGCAGTTTTTCGTATGGTTTTTCCTTAGAAGAACTGTCAGGTCAACTTGTTTCGAACCTCAAAAATGCTTTCCGACGCTTATTAAGGCGGGGAACACAGATCCAACGACACCGTTGGACTACGATTTGACACCACCTCAGCTTTTTGACACTGTTCTTCAGTTTCGAATGAAAGAATTTGAAAGTCTGATTGAAAAGAGAATATCAAGCTAAAAGCTGTCCGAAATTCGTCAGGTCAAGCTGCCTTTGCTCTGATCCACCGGTGGGAGAGAACCGACTCTTTCGTTTGAGAACGAGAAAGAAAAACGAAGAACCGACGATCCCTGCCGGAGGTGATCCCTGCCGGTTTTCTACAAAACATTTTCGGCCAGTGGTCTTGCGACACTGCCGGGGGCCCGGCACTTCCGGTGCGTCTGTTTTCTGAGGTTCCAAACAGAAACGAAAGATATTCGAAAGCAAAACGGGAAATGTCTGCAATTGAAGAAACGAAAGATATTCGAAAAGAAAACGCCAGTCGTCTTTATCTTTGTTACTTAGAGTCATCACATATATATATATAATTTTAACATATTCCAAAAAATCTAGGAACAAGAAGCTACTAGGAGCAAGGACGCTATTAGGAACAAGTGCATCGCTTCTAGTAACAAGTGCCTTACTAGTAGTAACAAGAAGCTACTGGGGGCTCCTGGCATC